GGAGGGGAAGTGAGGGTGACTGCCTTTGACAGAGGCAGCATTTGAACAAAGTTAGCATCAGGGAGCCTAAGGAAAAGTAGAGTAAGTGGAAATCGGGTGGAAAACATTCTGCTGGTAGGAGTCATATCTCGCACAAAAGAAGATTGTGGTTGTTTGGGGTCAATCATTCTCCTTTAGATCATCTCTGTAGGAGTTTCTCGGGGTAGTGTTCTAGGCCCAACCATCTTCAGCTCCTTTCCCTCCATCGTAAGGTCAGAAGGGGATGTTTGTTCAGACCACAATGTTCAGACCATTTGCGACTCCTCAGATACCGAAGCAGTGCATGTCCAAATGCAGCAAGATCTGAATAATAATCAAGCTTGGGCTGACACGTCACAAGTAATGTTCGTGTCACATTACTTTTCCAACAAGAGGATCAGCCACCAACCTTTAAGATTCAATAACATTATCGTCACTGAATTCCTCACTATCAACATTTTGGGATTACCATTGACCAGAAATTGAATGGGACCAACCATATCAATACAGTAGCTACCAGAGCAGGTCAGCAACTCACAATACTGTGGAGAATAACTCAACTCCCGATTCCCCAAAACCTGTCCACCATCTACACGGCACAAGTTAGGGGTGTGATGAACTACTGTCTACTTCCCTGAATGAGTGCAATTCAAAAAATACTCAAGAAGCTCCACGCTATCCAGGACAAAGCAATCCACTTGATTGGTATCCCATCTCTCACCTTCAACATTGACACAAGGGAGTAAAATGGACCAAAGTGCTGTATTTTTGTCACAACTTTAATGCAGTATTTTGGATGTTGCTGGAATTGATGTGTAAGGCCATAAGACACAGTAGCAGACATTGCCACTAAGACCATTCAATCCCACCCCACCTTTCAAGGAGATCATGGCTGATCTAATAATTCACAATTTCACATTTCTGCCTTTACCTCTTAATTCCCTACTGATTACAAATATACTTCAGTCTTTAATATACTTTATGAACTCAGCCTCTTCACCCCTCTGCAGTAAAGAATTCAGCAAATTCCCTACCCTCTAAGAGAAGAAATTCCTTCTCATCTCTGTTTTAAATGTGCAACCTGTTACTCTGAGATTATGCCGTCTGGCCCTAGACTGTTCCTCAAAGAGAAATGACCTCTCAGCATCTAGCCTGTCAAAACAAGTAGATGCATAAATATACAATAAAATCATAATCATACTTGCATTAAAGGGTCTGACATCATAGGAATGTTCACTAACGAGAAGAAAGTTCATAGTTAATTTTTTATAAGCTTTCGGCAGTCTGAGAGATTTACACTATCTATTGGGAATTTTCAGCATTGATGTCTGGGATAGAAGGAGATTTTTTTCATCTTATCAATGTTAAAACTCCCTTCTGTGACCTTGTTCCTGACCTGTAACTATGTAAATTCTATGATTCCATCCCATTTTGAGCAGCAGCACACAGCTGATGAATTTATGGATGAATAGTTTCTTGTTTTGAGGGCTACAAGGGTTCTGTGATTCCTGTCTGTCAGTGGACAGTCACTATGAATAATCCTCATAATGCTTTTTTTGTTCCACTTTTTAAAATAATGGAGCTCTGTTTAAAGTAAAATTATATCCAAAATGTGTTGTTCTGAATGAAGACCTCAGCAGCAAAGAGAGTGGAATGGTATGAATAAGATGTTGCACTCTGTTTATAATGCTTGCATCTGAGTGGCAACCCGAAGAACAGAAAGATGGAACAATTTACAGGGGACATTTCTTGTCCAAAAGTCAGATTACAATTTGTTTTATTTTGTGAACTACTGAAACAAAAGCAAATTTGATAAATGGAACAGATCTTAATTATTTTTGGTTGCTCAGCTAAATTTTGATTCATTTTGGTTTAGAAAGTGGGGATCATTTTTGTAATCTTATAAATAAAAAGCAACTTCTGTGATACTAGTCTGCAATTAGTGTATTCTGTCATATCATAATGCCAAATCATCCTCACTTATAGTAAGTTACACTTCACTTTTCATGTATTTTGCTTTTTGTAAAGTAGTCTGTTTAATATTTTCATTAATCTTTGTTGGCACAAATAGAAAAGCTATCACACTGATCGGGTGTTGTTCAGTATTGTATTTATCCAATTAGGATACAGTACAATACTTTGGGGCAGCACGGTGGCTCAGTGGTTAGCACTGCAGCCTCACAGCACCAGGGACCCGGTTCGATTGCATCCTTGGGCGACTGTCTGTGTGGAGTTTGCACATTCTCCCCGTGACTGCGTGGGTTTCCTCCGGGTGCTCCGGTTTCCTCCCACAGTCCAAAGATGTGCAGGTTAGGTGGATTGGCCATGCTAAATTGCTCGTAGTGTTCAAGGAGGTGTAGGTTGGGTGGGTTATAGGGGGATGGGTCTGGGTGGGATGCTCTGAGGTTCAGTGTGGACTTGTTGGGCCGAAGGGCCTGTTTCCATACCGTAGGGATTCAATGATTTATGAATATTTGTTAGATTTTCTAAATTGATTTTCAGAATATGGGCTTCTCTACAAGACTAACATGTATTGCTCACCTCTGTCATTCTGAGAAAGTGGCGACGATTGAATGGATTGCGAATATATTAGAGGCCAGTTCATTGTCAGTCACATTGCTGTGCGATGAAGTCACGCCTGGGCCAGACTGGCAAATTACATTGAATCATCTTCTCTGTATATCAGTGCAATAATAATCCAACATGCTCACATTTACTGATATCAGATTTTTAATGGCAGTTGTTTTAATTTTGATGCTGCCATATTGAAATTTGAACATGCGTTCTTTATGCGTCCAAGCCTCTGGTTTAATTGTTCAGTAACATAATCACACCATTACTAAATTTATTATTCAATAAATGCTTCGCTTACAACTCTATGGCTTCAGTGATCAAAGAGTTCATTATCCCACTATGTTGCTGAAGATTGGACATGGTTATGCTAACTTTTCTTTTATTAGAGATTGGATTTAGAATTAACTAGTGGGTGGAGATGTGTTCATAATGAGGATTGTATTAACTGGAAAATGTTATGATGAGTTCTACCTCTCATAACGTGCACTGATCAACCATCATTTTAGGCCAGTTAGGAACAAACAAATCTTGCACTCCTTAAACATTATGTAAAATCATAGAACAGTGATGTGCATGGGGAGGCGATGGCCTAGTGGTATTATCGCTGGACTGTTAATCTAGAGACCCAGATAATGTTCTGGGGACCCAGGTTCGCACCCTGCCATGGCAGATGGTGGAATTTGACATCAATAAATATCCGTAATTAAGAGTCTAATGATGACCATGAATCCCATTGTCGATTGTTGGAAAAACCCATCTGGTTCACTAATGTCCTTGAGGGAAGGAAACTGCCATCCCTACCTTTGTCTACAGGCCTACATGTGTCTCCAGACCCACAACAACGTGGTTGACTCTTAACTGCCCTCTGGGCAATTGGGGAAGGGCAATAAATGCTGCCTGGCCAGCGACGCCCTCATCCCGTGAATGAATAAAAAAAATTACTGAACAATACTGATGAGCCATAAGAGGACATGAACTATCTCTATCTAGTATCAAAGGAACACATTTTTTATGAGTTTGTGGAAAACCTCACTTGGCCTTGAATTTCACAAAGATACTCGTAGTTCAATCGATGGTAGGTTCATTAATTAACAGTTGATTCTCAGCATCATACACATAATTAATAGTCATACCGAGCACTTTAAGCATATTATTTATGACAAAGAAACAACAGTGGATTTTTGTTGTGTGAAATTCTCTGGATAGAAAGAACTGCATGTATCGGTTTGCTGAGAAATCAAGATTTTCAGTGTTTACTTTTCTCATTGTCTTTGGATTTTATAAAATATATAAAAAGGTATAACAATTAGGTGTAACTTATTCACATCACATTTGCTGTGGAGTTAGGGTCCAAGCAATGACTGAAATTTCAAGTCAGAATGTAATAGTCAATTGAAAAGAATAGCCAAAAGTATAATGTAAAACAAGAAATGGTGAATTGGTAATGACTGGCCTGATGCCAGGCTTGAAGGAATGGAAAGCTGTGGGAGGTGAGACATTCCAGCTTTAAGCCCTTGTAAAGAATAACTTGGCCTAGGATACAGGAGATGCAATATTTATCGTCCATTCCTAATTTCTCCAAGTCATGGGAGGCTGGAGTCCCAAGTAGGCTAGGCTTGTTTCCTTGCATCGTATTGGTTTAGTTTTTGATGGCAACTAGGTAGCTATTGAGGCTGTTCTTCTGGTGTCAGCCAACAAAGTACCAGCTTAAATGAATTTCATAATTTGGCATGGTGAAATTGTGAATTGACAATCGCTGGGCTGCTAATCCATTATCACAACTACTTTGCTACTGTGTCCATTTTAGACAGAATTAAAGTGAGCTATGTTTTGCCAATAATTTAATATTTTCACCAGGTGAGGTATTCCATCGCAAGTAATTGGCATTGCTATCTTTAATGGTATTCTTGTTTCAGATAAGAGCATGGCTTTAAAAACACAGGAATCAGAAACTGCCATCATATTGTAACACAGCAGGAGTGGACCATGCAGCTTATTGAATCTGCAAAACCATTCTATTAGCTCATGGTTATCTGTACCTTCATTCTATCCAACATTTCTCCATATCCATTAAGATCTTCAAAGTTTCTCAATCCCAAAGATTCACTGCCAGGAAGAATCACCTTAAGCTGCACTGGTGCAAGTCTTGCTGTGTAAATATAGTACCTGAACGGACTTCCAAATGCAGCATTTTACTCCATCAAATTCCACAAAGCTTTTCTTTTAGTGATCCTGTCACATAAGGAAGATGTCCAGCGTTTCCCACAGTGAGACAGAACAATGTACATAAGAGATGACAGTGCAGAAAATAGAATGATTTGAACATAGCGCCACAGTGGTGTATTATTTTAACCAGTAATCATGTTTTGAACAGACACTTTTCTAATTGAAAACTGGTTTCAATTCAGGGAGAAAAGTATGATGGTCGGAAAGCAGATGTCTGGAGCTGTGGTGTCATCCTTTTTGCACTGTTGGTGGTAAGTCATTTAAGGATTTTCCTTCAGCCTCGTAAATATTGAATGAGCTTTTGATGTACAGAGACCTATTACAAGAGGATTAGTATTTTGTATTTTTTGCTTAATGCAATTTCGATCTATTTGCTTCCACTTCTATTAGAATTAATGGTAATTTTATGCAGTACATTTGTTAAAGTTGTTCTGTTGTGAAGATGTGCTGCTGTGCTGCAAAGCAGCAGTCAGTTCAGTACCCTGAAGGTTCATTTGACAGCATTATCACTTGCTTCCATATTAGATTATCTACATGTACAGATGCTGAGAGGTGTATTTGGCTTCCAGTAATCTTCAGCAAAATAGCCAAATAATATTGTACATTTCAGGTGGACTATCTAAACTGTAAATTTCAAAAGAGGTTGGGTTTAATATGGGTACAAACTTGAAACGATTATAGAACCATTATAATGTCTACAGAAAATGATTACAGATATCACAGCTTGAGAAGATATGAGAAAACGACAAAAGAAGCACAATGGTTGTGTTGCAAATGAATATTTCACTATTAAATACTTTGCCAATATATAGATCAAATGTGCTAGTCATGTAAGCATCTGAAATGGCTGGCCTGTGATTGCTGATCGCACTTGTGATGATCATTTGGGATCTCCTGCCAACAATTAGCAGAATGTCTTTATTAGATTGCAAAACGGTCTCCAACATGTCCAACTGTTCATACAGTATAACAGGGATGGTTCTCATTTATTATATTTAAAGTCCAGACCATCCTTTGAAGATTCTTTTAAAACTCAAACCCAATTGTATTCTACAGCCATAATGTGACACTATGAACTCGAACCATGATTCGACTCGACCCAGATACTTGTCTCTCTCTTTTTTTGCTCTCTCCAGTAATTTTCTAACATGTGAAATCCCTTACATTCAATTTTCCAGGAAAAGGTGTTTTATAGAATACTATCTCAATTGAAGGCCTGTCTTAATGAGCCTGTCCTGCCTTCTGTATTATCTCTACTGTTTCCCTTGATTGTATTTGTTATGAGTCTGTTACCTTGCTGTTCAGCAAGTATAACATTAACAGACTGGTAAACGAGTATTTCTTTTTAGCACATTCATTATAGCCACAGACATACTGGTTGAATGCCAAACTTAAAAGATCTGAAAAGGCTTATTTTTTTCAAAACCTTTCAGTACACACAAATTTGGGGTTGGTTAGCTCAGATGGCTGGACTGCTTGTTTGTGATGCGGTGTGATGCCAACAGCATGGGTTCAATTCTTGCACTGGCTGAGGTTACCAGGAAGGATTGTCCTTCTCAACCTCTCCCCATACCCGAGACAAGGTGACCCTCAGGTTAAATCATCATCAGTTGTTCCTCTCTAATGAGAGAGCAGCCCTATGGTCTGGGAAATCTGTGGCAACTTTGCCATTTAGCTTTTATACTCAAATTGTTTTAATGATGCAATTATAAACTGTTAAACAATGAAAGTTGCAAACTATTAAATGAAACAGTGGATGAAAAATATTTAAAATATTGAGGGGAAAGTATTTTTAACATTTATAGCATTGATGGTCTTTGAAAGCAACAATATTAATATTCGTATAAGGCTGGATTTTATAGCTCATTTCCCCCCATCGTCCTTCCCACTTACCATTGCCTTGGTCATTTCTTTCTTGACCAGCCCAGAGACAGTGCCCATAATACAATGGGTGCATTGGCACTGCCCATTTTTCAATAGATAGATAATGAGCAATCAACCTTGTTACCAAGCAGATTTCATGCTGCCTGCACCATAAAATGGTTGATGTGGGCAGACAGCCTGGAGTGAGGATCTTGCTTTTGTAAGGTGGTAAGGAAGGAGTATTACATTTGGAGGGATGCCCTTTGCATATTGGGGACACCCCCTTCAAGATGATTCAAGCCTCCTTTGTTTCTTCCTGCCTAGCTTCCAAAACCTGCTTCACTGCCCCATTTACCGCTGCCTCTGGGTTGCACAGTCCCTCTCTGCCTAAAGGACTTGGCTTGTTGTGGCATCCGGTACTTCATGCGCTAGCTTGTAATACTAGTCTCACTTACTTCACAGTTTTGGCACTGCGAGAATTCTAAAGAATCAGATTGGCCAACAGTTCTTAAGGGTGAGACTTCCTCCCACTGAGACATTGAAGTGCCTCTGTTGGTTTGTTTAGCTTAGCAGCAGTGTGTGATATGTGTTGGACAAGCCTTTATTTTTCTGTCAGCTACCAACTGATTCCTGCAATGAGAGAAGCCTGCAATACCCATCGTCCACCAGCCCACCTCCACCATGAATCATTAGCATTATTTAATTTTTGCTGTTCTATATTTTTTTCAATCGAATAACTAGAAGCTTGGTGTTACAGGTAGGTTTCAAATGGTGTTTTTAATGAGAGTTGTGAGGTGGAAAGGTGTAAGCAAACAATTCCAGAGCTTCACTTCTAAGTAATAACGACACATCCACCAAAAATTGAGTGATTAAAACTGGGTTAATCAAGAGGCTAGAATTAGATGAGCATAGCATTCTTGGAAGTTATAGGGCTGGAGGAGATTAGAGATACGGAGAGGTGAGACCATGGAGAGATTTGACAACAAAGATGAAAATTTTTAAATCCAGATGTTGCTTAATCAGGAGCAATATAGCTCAATGAGCACAGGGATGATAGGTGAACGAGAGTTGTTATCATTTGGGACACAGGCAGTTTTGGGATGATGTTATATCTTTGGAAATCAAAATGTGGGCGATCATCCAGGAGCACTTTGAAACAGCCATATCTGGAGATAACAAAGGCATGGATGAGGGTATCTGATTTCGATGAGCTGAGGTTTGCCACAGTCTAATTTATTCTCACACAATTTTCAGGAAGAGGAATGGATATGGAATTTGAAGCGGAGGCCGAAAATATTAGCTTTGTTTTTTCCAATAGTTAACTGGAGGAAACTTCTGCTATATCCAGTATTGGATGTCAGATAAACAGTCTGATCATTTAGTAACAGTGGAGCAGTTGGCAGAAGTGCTGGTGAGGTAGATCTGGATGGCATCAGATGTTACCAAAGGGCAGCATGCATAAAGAATGGGACGGGCCAAGGAGATACATTCAGAATGGTACCAGAGCAGGCAGAGAAGCCATTGCAAATTATGCTCTGGCTATAAGTAGGTAGATGCTATTTATATTGAAGAATGGTTTCTCATGTGTTCTGTATTCCATGAACATTAAAACTCATCAAAAATTCCTAACATTTTGCATACTTATTTCCTTTTTTGAATTGCCCATAATGTATCTGTTTGTATAATCTGATTTGTTGCAGAGCACATAATTCCTATCCAGTCTTAGTATTATTTATACATTTGTTAGAAATTGGTTTTGTTTAATCGTGATTAAATATCAAAATTTAGTTTGTGATTGAGTAAACATTATGTCGAGACATTTTTGAGAATTTTGACATCTCTTTAGGACCTGCCGCATTGAAAAGAAAATTACTGCTCTTACTGATCTGTTCCAAAGTTAAATATACACTATGTACCACTCTTTCTCAAGACCTTCAATCCTTTTTTTTTCTGCCAGTTGGCTATCCAGTTCCCTTTAGATTTTTTTTTCAAACTGAGCAGATCAGTTTCCTATATCCACCATCCTTCATAAAATGCAGTTAAATCTAATCTGTCTGTTCACCTTCCACCTTGTTCCCTTGAATTGGGCTTCTTTTTAGATTCAATGAGTGTGTCAAATAGGTTGAAGTTACCCACAATCCCTAATGTTTTGAATTTGCTGCAGGAATATTTGAAACAGAAACCTCATTTCTGAATCAGAGGCTCTCACAAGCCTAAAAATAGATTCATGATTTGTTTTGAATCTGAGATTGTAATCTTGCAAAGAAATAAAACATTTAACAAACATTTTCATTTTCGTAATATTGCTATTGTTAAGATTAAGCTACAGAAACATTTGTTGACGCTTCCATTCACATTTGGATCCATGGTGAAACTAATTATATCAAACCACGCGAACATATGATTTGACATTTTAAAACAGCCATTTTTCTTTCATCATTATTTAATGTGGGTCCTGATCTCTGCATCTGTGCTTTTGACATTAATTACACAGAGTTGTCCTTTGATCAGAAAGCTTTTATTTAGAGCCAACATTCATCATGGCCTCAGGATGAATTCTGTTGCATACTGAAACATATTTGATGCTTCATCTTAAACACTGAAGAAATGCTTTCAAAATGCAAAGACGTTTGTGATTATTTCTTAATACCAAAAAGAGCCCTATGGAATTGCATTCATTTTGAAAAATTGATCTAAATTTTTACCTAATGTAAGCAAGGATCAATTAATTGATTTCTCAAGACTATTTTTGTCAAGTTTCAAGGCATTAAGTTGGGTCATTATTTGACAGTGGATAATGTATCCACAGAAACATATAACTTTAGTCTTCGTGGGCCGAAGGGCCTGTACTGTGCTATACTGTTCTAACCATGTACAGTGTTGCTTTTTTTTCTTTATAAAACCTACCTTGACTAATGTTATATTTAATTCTGATTAGTGGGAACAAATATAATGCAAATATAATGTTATATTTTGATTTGCTTGACGAAATGATTTCCTCTTTGCTTTGAAGCATTGTTGTTTTTATTAGTATGCCATCTACATAGAAGGCCAAGGATACTATCAATCTTGAGCAAAGTTAGAGATGAGCTTGATCAGTAACTGGAGTTTAGGTGATGCCAGAGTTGTAGGAGCCTGTTACTTTTAGAAGGAAAGGAATTCAGTATGAGGTCAGCAGTTCTAATATTTTGAGGCCCTGGGAGCAACTACGTTAAAATACAAGACAATTGCAAAACAAAAAGTAGGCCGTAAGCATCTTAAATTCTTTCCTATACAAAGGGTGCAGGAACAAGGCAAGAGAACTGAAAGATCATAGAATTTGATCTGTGCCACTTCTTAGACTTGCAAGCAGTTTTTCCTGAGAACCTTTCTGGCCAGCCTCACTCAT